CAAAACGGAGAGAATAATGCCGCCTGTAAATAAAAAGGATGTTTTTGAGTCGCCAATGATTAAAACAAGACATCTGAATAGGCGCCGTGCATAGAGTTTTCGCGCCAAATTTGCATCCTTTGTAAGCGCGATCTTTTCAGTGCTCTTTGCGGCCACACAAAAAGTAGGTTGTATCGGTGGCTGATTACTATGCGTACCGTCAGATTTTGCCCAAGCACTATTTTTTTCTACCTCTATGTGTGATGTTATAGATGTGGGATCAATAAGCAGCGGATGTTATGCATAGAGTAAAGCACCTTTCCTTATCAGACACAAAGGCATCTCGCAGTATGCGCTAGCACCCCTGAAGAGATTTAGACGAAAAAATGTTGTCGTCGTCTGAGACAGCACTTACAAAGGGTGATTACTCACCCGATGTCCATTTTTCGTATCCTTTCAATTTCTTCCTATTTCCCAGTACACAAACAAACCACACCTATCGCAAAATTGAATTCAAGACTCAATCGCAAGCTTCCTTGCTTGATCGAACAAATTCATACTAGTAACAACACCTTACCACTTTCTAAATCAAAATCTACTTAAATACTTGCTGCTTCTCGTGTCAAGCAGACCATGAAGTCTAGAAAACTCCTGATTAAATAGGAAGATGAATGCACAAGAAAGTTGCAGATGATCGTATTACTGCTACAAAAAGTGATCGTTTTCACCATTCTAATCGTCGACTCAGATTGACCCACTCGTGATACATTACGGTGTCCTTGCAATAAATGTGAAATTACGTTCAGGCATGTACGAATGAATCCAGGTCATCAAGCACAAACCGAATCCATATCATCGAGTAGCGGTGTCCCATTATCGACAGTACATCTTCCTTCACAATGTACTGATCAACTCGCTGTAAGACGCATAATATGCACCACGACCGCTTTATGCTAAATTGATTTTCTGCTAGTAACAGATTCAGTTCAATTCACTAGGTACCGCCAAAATAGCTAATTTAGACGTGAAAAAACACGATTCCTGCCGATACGTGCAAATGTTCACCATCGTCTTCGAAAGCGGATAATAGTTGAAATACGGTGTCGTCTTTCTTCTTTCTGTCACGCTCCTAACAGGACTGCAAACGATCATGAATTCGTTGCCGACTACGACTATTATCTGCCGTGTTTGATACCGAAATGGCCTGTCCGGCTATAACGACCCTCATCATCATCGAAGAAGAGTAATGACTAGCCGAACGCGCAAACTGAATACAAGATGTGTGACGAAGTTACACAAACGGTTGCAATAACCAGGTACATTGGTGTGGTACGCACAGAAAGAGAACAGTGTCACTGATAAGGTGTACTTTTGTATCACATACACTAAGCAAAATTACCGTACCGTATCTGCTATCTTTGGGGGGATATTTATCGTAAAAGAGTCTTAATAGGGTCGACGTAGTTCTGGTGTGGTACACAAAAAGAACTACGACAATGAGTATTTCGATCAGGTAGCATAATTTTTTGAATAAAGACGTACGTAAGGCTTACCATTATAAAGCAAGAATTATTTTCAGTTCCCATTTTGATCAGTTTCCGACACGTGTCTTTCTAAGATGTCTCTGGTTGTAAGAGTTAAGTGCCTGAGTTAAGGCTAAGTAATCTTGGGAATTGGCGCTACGTGATTCCTTGGAGTCATAGTCCTTGAACCAGGACTAGAAGCTGAAGAGATTGTAAATACAGTTAGAGTTAAGTCTCACCAAGTCTGCAAGACTTGAGACCCTTATGTTAGTATCCGCTTAGTTTGATGTAACTAAAAGACTCTACGAGTCGAGAAGTCTTCCTTTTGACTGAGGAGTTAGGATAGCTCCGCTTCAAGATCAATCGAGCGCTCGTAAACTTTTTTGTAGAGATGTCTGTTACAGCAATATCCTATAAGTATTAGCCAGTGAGCGCAATTCCTGATGTAGCTTTCTTCCGATTTTTGGACTGATCAGGAACACGATCAAATCCAGAATGGTGACAGAGGTCCCAACCCAGTCGCTATTTTCGATTAAGATAACACACCTCATGTGGTAGCCGAAAGATGAAAGTGTCAGTGACTGCGCGCAAAGTGATAGCCAATCTTTTCAGAACCTGTTTCGTGTCTATTAATAGTTCTAGGTTTATCGTTGCATACTAACATTATTTTTAACGGGGCACGCCCTTACCAGATGACTGACAAGATTTTTGTACTTAAGGCTGCGTGCTCCCGACGTCACGTACACGCGGCGTGTGGAAGCGCAGCGAAGTAAACAGAACTGAGAGCTGTGTTTAAGGAAAAAGTAGAACTGTATTTGGCATTGTTAAGTTTCTTTTTAAATCATGATTGTCGTGATCTAACTATATCAAACTACAATCTCCTGTGTGGGTTTCTTGATCGCCACCCGTTGCGCACGTCCAGCAACGATTGGTGAATAATTTGGTTGATGTACTATCCACATCAACCAAAAGTGGAGCACGCCAGAATATTACCCTCGGGGGTTATACTCCGCCAACATCACCTCTTCGCGAGTGATGTTGATTGAATTTTGTCTAAATAATTATTATTCGAAAATTGATACATTTGTATTAAATTTATGTAACGGATCACTCCGCTACAAGTTTAGTCGAGCATATTATCTTTTCATCGTTAGATATGCATTATGATAATCGTTTAGCCGTATAACCAGGTCGCTCATGCGACTACGAAGTGGGAATAAGTCTTACAGGTCCAATTACACACATGTGTTTGTCGTTAAGTGATTGAGAGATAACATGGTAAAGAATTAAGTGCTCAAACTCCGAGGCAGCAAAAAGTCTCACACCTCCGGCGAATAGTAAATGCGAGGTATTGCTCATCCATAGCACTAAATAAGCTAATATGTAACGGGGTGATCCTGTTACATATAATTAGCCTTGGTACTCGTAAGTTAAACTATTCTCATAAAGGTTGATAATGTTCGTGAGCGTTACCATGAGGGGTAAACACTCACCGACTGACTGTTATGGGCCATCCTATCAGCCAGCTCTAGCGGTGCAATCAACGATCGAAGCGCGCAATGAGTTACTAGCAAGACTTTAGCATACACTTTTGACGTTAAACATAATTTAGTTAGGACTAAAAAATAGGTACATGCATTTAGGGCTTAATTATATTCAATAGGGTTTTACTTTCTACTCCTTTTGAACGCGTCTATCACTAGCTAGCCTTCCTCTGCAAGTACGGTGCACGTGACGTGACGCGCGGCAATACTACACTGTTTTCAGTGCAGGTGCACTAGTACTAAGGCAGTACTAGTGACCAGTGCTCCATTACATAATACGTATGACTTTCTGGCCACCTTCCGCTTTCGGTGGCAGAGTTAGCTCTCATGATGTACACTATTCTCTTCATCAACCAAGTCGTCGGTTGCACTTTGTTCTGGATGGCGTTGCCGGACAGGATCATTCTTCGTGTCGATTTGTATATTTCCTCTCTCCAAAGCATTAGCAAAATTAATGAGTAGCTTAAATGCATAATAGCTAACGACAGTGTATTTTTCACCTCCTAATGCACGGCCTATTCCTAGCCACCCAAACTGAAAACGTGAATATACAAATTTAAATCAGTTCTCTCAACTGAATTACTTATGCTGAAGGCAACCGATAGAGCTTACTCCTCGACCTTAATGTCGTCGTCGATCTACGAATCTACCAAAGACGGATCGTCACCAATAGTGCAAGTTCCTCGGCTGTGCAGTCCAGGATAACCCAATTGCATAAATTTTTGCGGGTGACGCAAAATCATCTGCCCCAAACTTGGCTAAGGACGTACTGTTTGTCAACAAAGTTTTATCACCAGCGCTATGATGTCGGCGGTAGCGTTTAAAATTCCATTAGATTTCCTCAAGGCTCTTACATCCGACAAGCTTTACGATCTTTAGCGAACCATTGACTTTCTGGTCCGCTTTCCAGGCAACCAAACTGGTGTGCTCATGCATCTTAATGTGACCCTTAACTTTGTCTTTCCTTTTCTGCGAATTTGTTGCAAAACGAGCCCATCCAAACGCTCCTGAGTTAGTTACGCCTCTCAAAAAGAAGTGTCACACGTACTAAACTACTGCGTCAATCTGCTTGAGATAAGCCTGTCACTTTATCATTAAGCTTTTAGTTACTGCAAGTGCACGACGGGGATCATTTAGTCGGCTTGAATTTGAAAAGTTCATCAAACGAAATGTAGTATGACGGACTTTTCGTGTACCACGCACGCAAAATAGAGCACCTGTATCAAAGGGTTACAAACATAGATATCGTGTAGCTTTTAAGTAGCAGCCACTGCAAAATGAGGCTATTTATTTTGTTTCGTCAACGGCTCTACGAGTTATGCTACAAGACGGTCTTAAACAAACTGTTTATGCGCTGCTAAGCGTCATAACTCTGTACAGAGAAAAGCCAGTAAATAAGGAAGAGACCTTTTTTGCAATGAATATTGTCCAGAAACGTGTGTGTGCTCCTGTCCCTCCTCGATGGTGGAAAATCTGACCAAACTGCTCTGTCTGACACAAACAGCTTGTAAAATGTTGTTGTTGTCAAGTACGTCCATTTTTTCACGAATAATTAACGACTGGAATTTCAGGAAGTGTGATCCGAAACCGGATCCATAACGTGGGTTGCTACGAAGAGCCGGGGGCGAGGGTGGCGGAGGCCAGAGACATCCAACCCAAGCCAGATTCGAGCCTATCTTTCAAGCGCTCTCAGTGCGACGCTGCCCTATGCAGCGGAAGATATCAAGACGTCCAAAAGGGCGCCTAACTGAATCGGTGACCGCTTAAGCGGCCAGCCGACATAAAGCGCAAGTAACCGAAGTTACGTTACACGCCGGGAGAATGCCACTACAATCGGCGACAGACTACATCGTGGCCGCTAAAGCAACCGTTCGAGCCAGATGTCGCTATCGCCGAGGCGATGACGATGGCGGAGGGAACGCCTACCCGCCGTATTCTAAACCGAAAAGCCGATCTATTCGCGATGGTGGGCATCCATCTGCCGCTTGCGCGGCCCATCGACGTAGACAGTAGCCACCGAAGTAGCTGCAAGGCGTGGGGAACGCCACATGTCGTAATATCTCCCGTAAGAGCTCATCCATCCGCGATAGTGGCCCCCTTCTTTGCCGCTTGCGCGACCCCCAGGACTTGGAATGTGCGACCGCCAAAGCTGCGACACGTGGCGCAAGGTACGCCTCCATTCCGTAACCTCCCCCTTTTTGGCCGCTTGCGCGACCCGTCGATCCACTGCCCTTACATCCAATACTGCGAGTGCAGCTTGCTCGAGACAGACCATAGATCGCTTCGGCTCCCCAATGGGGAGGATTTCCTCCCAAGTGTCCGCCCCCGAAAGGGAAGGAAGACTGGAAACAGCCTGTAAAATGTACACAGAATAAGAAATGTAGTGATACTTATTATCGTAAGCAATGGCGCCGGACGACGAATCATCGTCATCTGTTACTTTCCATCTGTTCTTTCGAGCAAAATGATTCACTTACCTATAATTTTTGAAGTAAAATATTCATAATTATAGATAATTGAATCATGAATAATAATTAATGAAAAATCACAACATTTTTAGGTTGTATTTTTTCATTAGTTATTATTTATGATTCAATTACCCATAATTATGAATATTTATTTACTTATCCAATTGTGCACTGGCTTTGCTTTGTCCTGAACTAGCTCTTGAACAGTCTCAGCTATTCAAATCACTTCAACTGACTCCCAAATCGGCAATCCTTAGTCGCAATGATCATGCTCTTAGTACGGGGCGGAGTATTATTGCGCTTGATCCCGACTGTGGTCTACGCTGCGTATGCGGATGGTCCGACAACACTAACGACCGAAGCGTGTTTTGGCTGCAACGAATACAAGAAGTGTCTCGGTTTCACGTCTGCTTCAACTTGTGTTGGTTCCGAGTGAGAGGCGGATAACGACGGCTTTTGCCAGTGTTTACGTGTCGACAAAATATTAGCGACACTAGTTGTGCTGGTGGAATTTGGGCATTACAAAAGCGACCAGGAACTGGCGGCTGGTGGGTACACAAGTCCGACTTGGCAGGATAAATCGATGAGACAAACAAGTGGCCGTCGATTTCGAGTGATCAAGTCAAAGCACTTGGAAGGATTAACGTCTTGCCTGCAGTTACGAGTTTGTACGTCTATGCTTTGTGTGAAAGATCGATGACTTGTCTCATGAAACTTCTCTTCGCCCAGTGTCGTATCTGGTGACAGGCAGCGGTAGATTATCCCACATGCAAGGTCTCCAGTATCATCCTATATTCAAATGTGATTGCATCGTCAGTAACCACAGTGAGGCTTCTGAATCTTGGTCTTGTAAACCAAATTGGGACCCCCGCAGCGTTTCTACCGCCGTCGATTGAGTCTCTGGACCTCACTAATACTCTTCTCACATCGTTTCCTGCGGAACTTGGCAGTCTTTGAGTACTCAAAGATCTGTACGAGGGTCGTGGATGCACTGTCAACGACATTCCGCTGAATGGATATCCGTATTGTGAATGCCTCAGAGTTTTGGACAATGATCATGTAACGACAGTGGCCTTGTAGAAGGAGCTGAATCGATGACTACATTGTAAGGGTTTCTGCAAAGCTGAAAATTGTGCTTGAGTCTCACATCATTTGTTTTTTGGCTGCAGGAGTCTGCAAAACGACAACTTTGTAAGTTTTACGGCTGTGTTCGCCAAGTTGGAGAACCTGTACGGACCGTACCGCGGACCGTCCATGCGATCAGCTTACCTTAATACTGCTTACTTTCTGTTGCTCTTAGATACCTCAGCGGTAGTGACTTGACGAGCATACCCAGTGCGATGTACCAATATCCAGCCCTGAAGACACAGTGCGTTGGTCAATACTGCTACATTCTCATTGTGCTTACTCGATGGTCTCACATCGTGGATTTCATTGCAGGAACCTAACCAGGAACTCATTATCTTTACGCCATTTTACAAGCAATCAGGCCAATTTCTTGAATAATTTGTAAACACTGGGTTTGTCCTCGTCCGATTTTAGTGGTGATGTAGACTGTGGAGATCTAAAGAAGAGCTCCATATTCGATGTGGCTGTGTGCATCACGGACGATCGAATGAGTTTTTATCGACAACGGTGTTTCCGCTGCGTCGAGGTCAAACGGATCGTATGAAACAGACACAGGCACTACTAGTGCTTCAGCTAATGCTTTATCTTCTACGACATGGATGCGGGGAACCATTTGTGGTGTTGTCGCTGTGCTGTTCGCTGCGTTCCTTATTGTTACTCACCGCTTAAAGAGTACAACGACCCAGACGTCTCGATTGCAAGTGATACAGTCGGGTGTAGCAGTAGCAATTTCTCCTCCGCTGACAAATGGCATCAATTAATTCTGCAGAATCGTTGCCGGTGACGTCGACGTGTTTATTCCAATACCTTCTAGCGTTGCTTCAAGGAGCATCCCGACAGTGACAAACGAAGAAAATGAGGTCTTTGAAGCATTGAGATTACCACTGCAGTTTATTCGGCGTTCCCGCTTTCGTGGAAAAAATTGAACTAGTTGCTCAGTTTAAGCATCCGAATTTGGTGAGACTTATCGGAGCCGCGTGGACAGTCGAAAGTGACTCGCAAATGCTGCATGAGTACATGGAAGGAGGTAATCTCCGACAATACTTGGCTGATTCGAGTACTCCGAGCGGGTGGACAATCACAAAGCTTAGTACTGCGATTGATGTAATCGAGGCGCTCATGTATTTACCTTCTTTCGTGCCTCCACGTGTCCATCGCGACCTGAAGTCAAAAAATGTTTTGCTTTCATCTGATACGGAAGCCAAGGTGAGCGACTTTGGAACCTCACAATTTAGATCTACGGATAAACCCATAACCGGTGGAGTCGGTACCGGTTGGTGGATAGCCCCGAAGGACTCCGACTTCGGTCCGGCTGTCGATATCTACAGCTTTGGTATGCCACTTACAGAGTTGGACACGAATCGTGTTCCGTACGACAATGTTCGCGGTTCCATGGTAAAAAATGTCTCATTTAGCAATTCTGCATTGAGTAGCAACGGGAAAGCTGTATTCTAAGGTCAGAACAGGTTGTGATCAAGCCTTAGTGGATCTGGTGGAGTGATGTCTGCTTGCAGATCCATCTGAGCGCTCGACCGCTCCTGCCGTTGCATACGGACTTCGTGTGATCCGACAGGACATCCTACTAAATCTACAATAGGATGTCCTGTCGAATCACACATGTGTTATGAATCTATACAAGAGAGGTTGTAAACACATGTATGAGAAGGAGAAGTGTACAATCGCGTTTTACGCGCATGCGGCGAAAAGCTCCAGCATGTGAGCGGTTTTTGAAGAAGCCATACTCAGTGAATAAAAATGATGGAAAATGCGCAACACAAACCACGTAAGACACTGTCTTTACCACGGATATTATACTTGCACGCAGATCCGTACGCAGATTGAGCAACAATGCGTGACGAGCTCGCCATCCATGGTCTGTGCGACGTAGTAATTTGTTATCATCTCCGTGCTTTGCCACTTCAGGCGACTTATATCATGCGTCGTATACTAATTGATTGGCGCATGTGGAGTTACGTACATTACTGTCTGGGTGGCGGTGATATAGTGGGGTCTCTGCTGCAAACTGATAAAATGATGGAAATGACAAAGGCATGACCCTACTGACAGGTTCTTGAGTAAGTAGGGTAATTGTGGTACACGTGTCTGCGTGTATAAAATCGCCTCCTGACCATGTATCGGATCACTGTGCATCACAACATCATTGAGCAATTACATTGTTGCAGAGATATGTAGTTAAAGCAGCTCGTTTCCAAGCCTGATCGTACATCTGCAAGGGGTATGTGCTACTCGGAGTCTACAAGAATGGTAATAAACTTGTATGACCCCTCCGGACAATGGTTACTACCACGTCTCGAATGCATAAGAGTGATAACATTTGCTCATCTAGCCAACTTTTGCTGGCTGGGGTCAAATACTGTAGCCACGGAGACTCAATCTGAAACGGTCAACGTAGCATTTCAACGAGAACAGGCCAAGTCGATCATGTCCTCTTGAAGTCACGGATAAATGCTGTCAATATGTCCGGCAATACGCACAAGAATGTTGATACCTTTGATGACTGACTGGCCTCGTCTCGTTTACCGTTTCTGGAATGTGAGTGTCGATTATGATTCATCACATGAATTTGTGAGATGAATCGTTGCTCGTACGCATTATTTGACCTTAGTTTGATTTACGTGGAACTTCCAGACGATCGAGAAACTTTGGTCACAAAACTACGTCAAGATGCGAGGAATGGTAGCATTATGGTGTTGTAGATCGACTGCGCTGGACACACCTTCAGCAGTTTACCCAGGTGCAGTGCAATTCAATGTTGCGTTGAGCGTTATTCGGATTCATTCTTACGCACGGAATCTATGCACAACTTAGTTGGAGGTCACCTATCTCGTTTGGATCTGCGCAATCGATGAAGTTACGTTTATGCCATTCGATAAGCAGTACCGGCGTCGGCCACAATCGAAAAGTTACGGCATCGGAAAACGAAACGAACGAGTCACTAAATGGATCTAAGTAATGCTGCGTAACATATCACACCACGTATAAGCATATAATATGTATTATGTACGTACTGCGACAGCTTACGCACATGTCCAGCATAACGAACGAGACGAAATAAATTACTTACCACCCCTCAGTAACGATACCACGACACTTGTTACGACACAGTCGCACTTGTGGCTTTTTATTTTGAAAACACGCACGAACAGGCGTTTCTGCACCAAAAACATCGACCTGTTGCACTCATTCTATCACACCCCTCGTGGTCGCTTTCCTCCTCAATTAGGCCACAACAGCAATCCTAAGAAACCACCTCCTTTATGCCCAAAGTCTTGCGCTCAGGCTCGACGAAGAGCATCTGGCGAATGCACCTTGACTGTGATTACGAGCTAGGGAGCGAGCTGAATTGTCGTGACGGACAGCATATATGTTTTTTGTACATCTGCTATTTCTTCTGAATGGCACACACCAGTACTCAACGATGGCTTCAACAGCGTACCCGGCCGCGTCACAGTTCAAATGTTTTTATGTCACGAGCGGAAGAAAAGCTTCGTAACGAGGTCGAGTGGACCAGCAAGTAAGTGATACCAGCATGCGCTGAGAAAATCTTTTGCTCCGGATGCACTCGTGTAAAATTGGATGCGTCACGACGACAACAACTGTGTCAAGCGAGAGCTTGTTCGTCACTGGACTTGATGCAGTTTGCAACGAACGAATCCATGTGCGCAACAGATCCTGTGTACACGTCTGGTACAGAATCGGTGAATATGTCCAGATAGGCGATATCGCAGATCAATGGTGACCACGAGCTGTGCCTTTTGCATGTTATTACAATGAAACTCTCGAAGAAAACACTTTGCTACAGCAGCAGTCCAATGGTGAAAGTCGTTGTGTCGAAAATGTCGATTGGCATCACAAATGTATCGCAGAACGTGTGCGTTTAGCATGCGACCACATGAACGACATTACGAGCGGATATGCAACATTGCTGAGACGGTTGTGGGTATCAGACATTGCTGAGACGGTTGTAGGTATCAGACATTGCTGAGACGGTTGTAGGTATTTAGACACTGCTGAGACGAGCGGATCGCCTCACTTTCTGCCAAGAGCTCCAATGCTGTGGTCGGATGAGAAGGAGAGCCAGGGGATCTCCTAGCGTCTGGGTGCTTATTTTTGGATAGCGCCGGTATGGATATACAGTTGTCTTAAAATTTAATGATCTCCTCGCCCACTTACATGCGGCAGATGCCGTCCTCACTGAACATATCATGTCGATTATGTCCACTGTGTGAGGAGCAAGTTGAGGGTAGGGTCTGCATCTGACCACCGGAAGCTAACGGTGGAGACAGCTGAAGGAAATGACGAACTCGTATTCTAAAAATTTTAAGCTCAAGATGCAGCTGCGGTTAGAGCTCAGAAATTGTGGAGTACTAGAGGGGGGGCTACTCTAACCCCATTCAGACAGAATCCATGGCAGAATCCAGAGAATTCGATGTGTGCGGGAAAGCATCATGTTCGTGTAGAATGTTAGCGCTAGTTTAGTACACGTGACGTGGCATTGAAGGCGAAGGACCTCCTTGCAATATCATTGTTGAGGGAAGTTAGGTACCTTCGTCCGTTTTCCACACTCAGCTCGCATGATGTACGGAACTCGGTACGTCGGCGCGGATAAGAGTAGCTTCATAGATGAAGAGGCAAACGTGTGATGTCGTTTGACTGGATAGGACTCAGTTCAGCCGCTTCAACGAATACACCTTCTATCACGTAGCTCAGTTTTTTTGCCGTGCAAACTCAAGCTATCTACGAACCTTAGAGCAAACCTAAGTACGTACAGGCGGTGCTGGCAACTTATACCGTAGTTGAAAAGTGCGCAGTCTCGCACACAGATGTACCGGGCCTTTTTGCGTACGTGAAGACGGGAGTGACACAAAAGTTGCTTCTTTGTTACTGGACCTTTAAAAAACCGGATGAAGGTCTGCTTGGCATGACCCACTTTCCAATTTACCTCAAACAAGTCAAGTCCTGAGTACCTCCTCCTCTTCGTCCTCCTCATCAACAATGGGCTTCCCTGCTGACCGTTTCAACCTGGAAAAACAGGTGACATTTTACTTGTCGTACCACGATAACAAGATCAATCAGTATATCCACCTGGCCTGCATCTGGCCCATCTTTGTGTCGGGACTCGTACTCCTGGCGCACACGCAGCCATTGATCGAGACACCGTCCTTCTTGGCCGCTCTCCCGTATGGCCAATTCATGCTCCTCAACTACTCGGCCATCGTGACTGCCGTCTATATGGTCTGGTACATTGCACTTGATATCCGCGCGGGCACGTTGGCGGCCGGGATCGTGTATCTCAGCTACGTCTTTGCCAACTACTTTGTCATGGAAGGCTCGGAGGCTCTAGGCGTGAATAGCGTACGTGTGTGCATCGGCATCCAAGCCACCGCATGGATCTTGCAGTTCATTGGCCACGGAGTCTTTGAACGCCGCAAACCTGCGCTCTTGGATAGCCCGGGCCAGGCCTTCATCACTGCCCCCATGTTCGTGCTACTCGAGATCTTGTTCCCGCTTGGCTATCGCCCGGACCTCTACCAGCGCGTGCTGAAGCAAGCACAGCTCAACGTCGCGAACTTCAAGGCTAGCAAGACGCTGTAAGACGGGATCGATAGCTGGTGCGCGCAATGGACTAGGACCGTCGGAAGAAGAGAAACAGCTGCGTGATTTATCTCGACAGACATGTGTAGGAAGGAGGGTAGTAGGCAAGTAATATCATCATCGGGTTTGTTGTCTTAAAGATGTTAGGTACGTGGAGTCGGTCTTAGTTGTCAGTCCAAATGCCTTCAGCAGCACGGAGGCGACGGTCGAGAGGTACACCTCCTACTGTCAAGTCTTCTCGTGTCTTGTATCTCCCGGTAGCCCTTCCGCGTTCGTATTTTTATGTCCCCGGAATCCATTCGCAAAGACCGAACGCAGCTGCGACATATTGCAAGTCCAGACAGCGCAACAAACGACGGCCTTCTGCGCCGCAACTTCGGAGCCGGTCTGACTTCTGGCGTCTTTGGATAAAGCTAACATTAAACATGCAAATAGTTAAAACACCATTGTGTGATCATGGACGGCGCAGCAAATGACCGACATAACAAGTTCAGAGTAAATTCGAATGAGACTGTCCGACCGTATCTGCCGCGGAGTATCTCGCAACTGTTTGCTTCAAATAGGGCACAACGGTACTGGATAAAATCGATTTTACATTCAACATCATCGGATTGACAAAAAAGTCAATAAGGTCGCACCACACCACACGATACGTAAAGCTGGCCGCGTTGTCATCTGAGCAGCAGCGGAATGGCGACGGCCAACGCCATCTACGAGTCAATTTTAACGCGTGTCGAGCGCTTTGAGCTGCAAGAGCAGCTGCAAAAAGTGGTGCAAAAGGACTTGGATTCAGTATGTAGGCGCTTGCGTCGTGCTTCGTCGTCTATCACTGCACTTCGGCAGCTGCAGGCGGCGGCTGAACACGTGCGACCAAGTGGCGACTGGCTGCCGACGACGTTGGAAATGCGATTGAAGAGTATTGAGGAGAGGAAGCGGCAGCTGGTGCGGACGATGGATCAGTTTAATGTGGAACAGAGTGCGAAGAAGCGGATGCAGACGAAGAGGAAGCGCGGGAGGGAGCGGAAGTCGCTTGGTGATGTGGTTGGGCTGGAGGAGGAAGAAGCGGGGAAGGAGGAGAAGGTGGTTGTGGTTGGTGGAGGGATAGAGGAGAATGGAGAGATGAGGTGGTGTGGGAAACGAGATAAGACTGAGGTGCGGATGGTGGTAGTGAGGGACGAGGTGACGCAGCAGCAGCAGAAGAACGAGGATGGATTGGATGTGGAGAGTCTAGATCTGGTGATGGCTGAAGAGGTGATGAAAGAGGAGGAGCTGGATCGAGTCGAGGTGGCACTTCTGACAGATCGTGAAAACAAGGAAGCGACGAGTGAAGTGGTGGTGGCGATGCAGGACGTGCTTGTGCGTGTGAAGGAGGAGTCGGTGGTGTGTGAGAATGGAGGGGAATCGCCGGAGAATGAAGGACTAGTGTTGAAACCAAAGGAGCTGATGAACGGAGTGGTGCCTAGTATGCAGTACGCGCTCAAGTATGTTAAAGAGGACCCGGTACTGTGTGACCCTAGGATCGATTTGCCTGGAGAGAAAGGATCGAAGTCAAATGCTGAAGAGCTGACGAATGGAGTGCTTTTAGCGCTACAGGACGCGCTTGTGAAAATAAAGGAGGAACCGGTCATGTGTGATAATGGCGTAGTATCGCCTGAGGAGGTAGGGGCTAGGTTGGAGGACCATGAAGCTGCTGCTGGGGGCATGACGGCGTCTCCGAGTGAGTGGACGATTGCAGAATTGTCCGATGAGTCGGCAATGGAGCTGGAGGTGCCAGACTCAGAGTCTGATGAGGACTTTTCCCCTGTTCACGACACGGTGACGAGACTAGAAAAGGCGAGGACTTCTACCCAATTAATCATGTTTCCAGCGGCTGTGGATCAGCTACGCGCCTACCTGATTGATCACAAGCACATGACTGTTGTCGAGATGGATGGATATTTATCTGCGCACAAGCCCATTACAGATGAAGAGGCTCGAGAGATCGGGTGTACGATCGAAACAATCATTTCTGTGGCCTTGAAGCTGCCAATGCGACCAAAGATCAAGCTGGCGCTTTTCGACTTAATCGCAACCGTTGAACAGCTCGAGCTCACACTGGGCAAGCTGCCCGGATCGCTGCGTCTGTAAGTGTATACTTGGGCAGGGATTTCAATCTCGATCATTGACATTGTCGTGCTAACATCACCTGTATTCGTTGTGTATAGAGCCACGGATAGGTTATCGACTTTCATTAAACTGCACGTTGGAAGGAGTTGTGGACGCTGGGAACTGTGAGTTTCGGTTTCTCGTTCGGCTCGTCTTATAAATTATTTTTATAAAAAGACAAGCTTGGGCTCGAAAACACTTTAGGTGTGATGTGACTGTAGATACACGACATCCTCACATCCTTTGACAAGTATAAGCCTCTGCCCTGTGATTCCGCCTGAAGACGGACGCTACGACAGCAGGTTTTGAGCGACTAATTTGGATCACTCTTGCACATCTATTCCATCCTGACGAGCGCTTTTGGACGCAAGTCAGCGGACCATCGTCCAGACGCAATTGCTGTATCAGCTTCATTTCCGCGTGCGTACAAGTTTGAATAGGGTCATCTATTTTACCGTCCAAGGTCAAAACGTTTTATCAGGTTTTACGATAGTTGTTTTTACATTTTAGCATTTACTTGGTTTTATTACAAAGGATTATCATCATTCAGGTCGGGCGGTCACGTGGCAACTTTATCGTCAGCGTGGTGGGCTTTATCAAGCGGTTCGGTTTCGATTTGAAAATAATTGGATAATATACCATGACAATTGCAGCACGGTTTATCTTCTATGTACTCGTCTCGCTCGCTCATAAAGTATACTACGTACCGCTTGTGTATGCGCACTGCACCAAGCCTGCATCAATGAGACTTGTGTACAGCCACGCGAATGTTTTTGCCGTTGAAGGGATACCCATCCATCCGCAGCGCAAGCGTCATCCCTTCGAGCGCTGCAAAACGCACAATTGCTACACCCACAGTGCTTCCATCAGCCATTATAGGCATTTGCACCGACACGACTGCGCCAGCGATACCAAAATACGACGCCACATCAGCCTCCTTTGTGGTTCCCCACGGCAGGTCTGACACAAAGACCTCGTAAATCACGTCTCCCCCCGCAGCCTCTGCTGCCGCAACAGCAGCGGCAGTCTGTTCGATCTTGACCGATAACTCGGTGTGACCAGCACGCTGTCTCTTGACCTGCGGCTCGTCTGCTGCGTATACGATATTGTTCGACTCGTTACTGACCAGCTCACTCTGCAAGGCATAGGACGGCCGTTTCTTGGCCAGCAGTTCACTTGACGACCTACCATATCAACACACGTAGTCAGTCAGTCAATCAGAATCCTCCTCTTCCTCCTCCAATTTAGCAGCTACTTATTCATCCTATGCCACCCTCCACTCACCTAATATACTCGTCAATATCCCCGTGCACACCAGCCATCTTCTGTAGCACCTCGTCCATGTTTTGCAGCGTCAATTGAGTCGTCAACGGACTCAACAGCACGGCAGAGATCAAATGATCCAGCACGAGCACCAACTCATTGCGTAGCGTCTTATCTGGACCGGCCGGTGCCCCACGTCCAATCAAATCGGCCACACTAGCCACGTCAGCAAAGTTCTTGTCGATCCACGCGTCGCTTCGCTTGCGCGTGATGCGATGCTGGATCTTGCCCAACAGTTTCGTCACGTGCTCTCGATTCCGCTTTTCGCTCTGCTTCTGCCGGGCATCGAGACTGTCCTCGGGCTCTTCGGCCTGCAGCTTCCGCTGCTCCTTGATAAAAGACTCGAGATCTGCGCTGAACGTGAGGAATTGGCGCTTAATATCGGCGCAAGTGGCCGCGTTCTCGCGACTGAGCGGCACGTCCAGCTTGGCGACGGCGTCCTGGACGGCAAGCGCCTGCTCCGCCTTGTCCAGACACATCTGCATGCTCGTCTGCAAGTTGCGCAGCTCGTCCTCGATCGCGGACGAGCAGTACGAGCGCAGGGCGTCGCCATTGACACGCGCGAGAATGCGCTCAAACCCACTCATTGCAGCTGGGTGGACCGGAGGAGCGCGAGGGTGTGTCGTCAATGTGGTCCACACCATGCGATTTAATCCGGAGATGTGGATTGCGGGACTATGGAGATAAAGTTAACATCAAATGATGCGCCGCACGGACATATTTACACTTTGTCCAATGTGGGACGAAGAACCTCGACATGTTGTCCATAGAATATTGCGTATGTATCTGCAAGCACCGAGTCAATGGGGTTGCGTCCAAAGAGTGTAGTAACGAATGTAGAGGAGTATCGTGGATGCTTGTTTGACTCACTAGTTCACCGCTAAATTAATGGCGAAACTAACTTTTACAATGATATCATG